TTTTATTTTATCTTATTTTATTTTATTTTATTTTTTAGTGTGAGGGTGCTTGAACAGGTTGCCCAGACATGTTGTGGACACTTCAGCCTTGGAGATACCACAAAACCCAACTGGATGCAGTTAGCAACCTGCTGTAGCTGACCCTGCTTTGAGCAGGAGGATTGGATAGATGATCTCCAGAGGTGTCTCTAGCCTCAGCGTTTGAGTGATACCACCATGTAACACAGGCTGTAACAGTGAGACCCTCCGAAGCTCTGCAGTGAATATTCCTGCAAATATGAGCTGTTTTGTGGTGGCCTTGCCTTTCTTGGGCACTCCCTGTACACCTTGATCATCTTGTAGTTTTATAGGTTCTCTGGTAGGTTTCTGGCTTCTGGAAAAGGCTTTATTAGTAGTTTTTATGGTTTTCAGAATATTGCATCTTAAAACATTTTCTGGCCTTACCACAACTGGATTTTGTGCTGTTTTCTGTTTTTCTCATTTGAACGCAATTTCCATTTTCTGAAGAATGTCATTTTACTCCTAATAGTCTCCATTACTTTGCTATTTAAGCACAAGAGCTCCTTTCTGGTCCTGTTTATAAGTGATATATATTTATTCTAAGCCTCTAATATGGTTCCTTTATGTAATTTCCTTGCCACCTCCAAGCAGTTTATCTTTTTGGTGGCTGCTTTTAATTTAAGTTTAGCAAGTTCCTTGTCCTGTCTTTGGATGGGATAAATCACCTTCCAGAGTGCCTGTTAACACAGTCAGTTTGGATTACACACCTAACTTTAAAATGAGGGTAGTTTTAACCCATGAATCCCTGTTGTGTGTGACCTGCCCCGTTCCTAATATATGAAAAAAAAGCTGTTTTCTTGCCTGGAAACTACAACACTGTATAGGACTCTAGCTGAAAAGCTGAGGCATGTCTTCATCCATTTCATCATATCTGCATAATACTGCTTAATTTTCTGACAGATATTTTGAATTAGTTGCATGAATAAATAAATATTTTATTTTAAAGGTCTTTGTAAACCCACCTGCTTCATTTTTTTTCCCAGTAACTGATATTGAGGGTCCTCACTGTTATTCTGTTAAAAACGAACAAACATTTTCATTTGAGCTTAGTAGATCTGGGGAAATAACACTACTTCATCAGCTGTACATTACTGCAACAAGAAGGAGAGTATCATCACCAAGAACCCAAACAACCCAGTAGTGGCTTGCTTCATTGCTGGTGAATTATATTGATTATCTTGAGTTTAAAGGTATGCTTGATGTTACAGAATATTTGGGGCTGTGAATTACACACAGGGACTACTGGGGCAAGTGCCAACTTCTAGAGTATAGCCTTGGTGAGTGCCATTCATTGGTGTGATGGATTCAGCGTCTGCTCAGTGCGGGTGTAAACAGCAGGGGATTGATGAAGCCTTGACCCCTTTGTCCCTGCCAGAACATCCACCTGGTGGCCAAGTGGCTGAATTCTCTGGAGAAGAAGCTGGAGCAGCACAGTGAGGGCAGCCACCAGGATTTCCGTGTCTTCATTAGCGCGGAGCCAGCACCCTCCCCTGACAGCCACATCATTCCCCACGGCATCCTGGAGAACTCCATCAAAATCACCAACGAGGCCCCGACTGGGATGCATGCAAACCTGCACAAAGCCCTCGACAACTTCAACCAGGTAGGAGCGCAGCGGGGCTCATGCCGGCAACTGGCTGACAGGTCAGCTTGGAGCTGCTGGAGCCCCATGTAGAGTGTGATGTGCGTGGTCATTGCAGCTCCCAGGCAGCAGACGTGCGAGTTGCTTTGCATTGTGTAGTCTCTGGATCCAACAACCCCCTCCTCTCTTCTCCAGGATCTGGGCACAGATCTCTTTCCAAACACTGATTTTCCCAAGAGAGGACTCAGGTAATCCTGAATGGCCCCTTTCTTGCAAGGTCACAGGATAGCCCAGTTTTTCTCACCAATGTATGATCCTTAGAAAGGCTATTTTGTTACAGAATCAAACTTCTGAATGCAGCATTTGGGAGACTTTTGTCATGTTTCAACTTGACTTCTGTGTCTGTGTCATTCCTTTTTGGGCTGACAAGTGACATATTACATCTAATACCCAAAGTCATGGAGAAGCGAGCAGGTTAAACCTTGCTTTTTTGCCCTTCTGTTTAACCAGTGTTAGAGGTTCAGAACTGCTGATGCAGTCACATCCCACATCCCTCTTCAGAGCAGTGTAGGGGGACTTGGTGTTGTGTGCCCAAAGGCCATTCAGCTCAAAACCTTGCTGACATCAGAAGTGTTGGAAATTAGAGCTGAAATCTCCCTGCAGGGCGAACTTGCTGTGCCAGAGAAAGCAGGCCATCTTGAGAATTGCTGGCCCACAAGAAGAATAGCCGATGGCAGGTTGCTTGCTGCTTTTATTGCATGGTGACCACATACACACACCTCATGTTACAGCAGCCACCATCCCCGTGCTTTGCTGCTGGAACTGCAGCTGAGTCTCTTGTGCAGGGGACACAAAAGTGAAGCGTGTGGAAATGACAGGAAATACTCTTTTCTTGGTGCCACAGAGGGTATGGATCAATCTTAGAGTCATCATAACACAGTGATTAAGTGAGCCTGCTTTGTGGCCTCACTTGGCAGCTCTGGGCACTGCAGGGCAGGAGGCTGCCAACAGCAGCAGGGCAGGGATCAAGTGCCGGTGGCTCCCCAGGGGACAGCCTGTGCATCAAGGTATGCCGGAGCCTGGTGTGTCTCACTGCTGGAGACAGCTGTGCTTCTGATGACCCCATTTTCCACATGACGTAAAAGGCTAAGGGCTAACTGTTTGCATTTATGATGATACCTTTCCTAGAGACACAGACCATTGTGTTCTGCTGCCCTGAATGCCCATTACCTGCATTCACACATTGCTGTTACCTTGGTGTGACGAGCTCTCACAGCAAGACCCTGGCTGTTAAACCTAGAGCAGCCAGAAGGACCTGAAGGTACATTCACCCCTCAGACTGCCTTTTTGGATCGCTAGCACTGAAGTTACTATGGCTTCTCTCTTCTGCTGGTGACTGTGCTGGGAGCACACAGGGCAAGCCTTGCAGGATTGCTTTCTTTTCTCTCCATACAGCCTCTTGTCATTTGGGACCAGGCAGGAGCAACCCCAGCCTATTGTGGACCCCAGGCACCGATCCATGGGGTAGAGAAACGGGGGCAGCTCAAAACTATTTTTGCACTTAAATGTTAGTATGGAGGTAATCTCGATTGCAGGAGCTAACATTGCTGAGCAGGTGAGGTGGGGAGGCACCACACAACAATTAATGCAAGTAGTCAGGGAAGTTTATTCCATTTTTGTCTACTGTCATTCATCATCTTGAACTCCATGAAATGTCCTGGAGAGCAAGGGAGGGGAGAAACTTCACCGCAAGTAATGTTTCCGTCCTGCCGCTGCTCATTTCAATCAGATAGTAATTAGTATTTTCTAAATTGCTGGAGCATTATAAAATGTCTCTTATCAGAAATACTGGAACGAGTGTGTGGGGCCCCTTTACACGCCATTTCCCTGCTTTGTACAGAATGGATGTTCAAATTTAGATTTCAGCTGAAAGCCACAAAGAAGGCCCATTATTTTGTGTGAGGAATATTGTTCTGCTTTTTAGCTCAAGAAAAGTGCACAACTAAATAGAGAAGCTGAATGAGACTGAGCTGGATGCTTAGTGTTCATTCAGGCAAGCTCCCCTTGAAGTCCAGAGGCATTTTCTGAAATGAGAAAGGTGCTCAGCACATATTAGAACAGGTTCTTCATCAGGTTGCTGATAATAAAGGGACAGCTTAGAGTGCTGTTTCATCAAGGCGAAAACAGGATTTGGGATGTTCTTGATCATTTTATGCAGTTAGTCAATGTCTTGCATACTTTGGAGTGATGGATTCCCCCTTTTCAGCACAGACCCTGAGCTCTGTTATACTCTCTAGCTGATTAAAGGTCTAACACTATTTTTTTAAGATACAGACAATGAAGGGAAGTCACACGGGCACCCTTTGTAGTCTTTGTCACATAGCGGAGTGGACTTAAAGGGGCTGTCCCTTGGGAAGGAGGATGGAGGAGCTGGTGTAGCTACTACCTCCTTGCTCAGCTGCTTGCTCAGCTGTGCAGGCCAGAGCCACAGTACCCTGGATATGCTATTCCCAGGGAGGGTTTGCAGAGATGTGGGTGGAGATGCAGGCAAGCCCTACTCGATATGTTCATTTCCTGGGTCTGGGGAGATCTGTACTGTTGGGAGTTCCCATCAGGTTCCTGCCATGGGGCAGCGGATCTGCTGCTCAGTCACACTGACCTTGCTAATGCAGAGCGAGGGCCAGAGCTGTCCAAGACTCCACCTGGCTTCAGCCACACAAAGAGGATTCAGTTTCCCCTGTGAGAGCTGAGCTTCAGCCTCATGCCATGCACACAGCTCCAGTCCTTCATCCCGTCTGCTGCTCTGCTCTCCTGTAACACTGATGCTCATGCTGCTGGGAATAGGCATGGCTGCCCAGGCGTCCCCTTGGTTCCCACCTGCTGAGACTTCACTCCCAGCACTGTTCAGGGTTCTTTGGAGACTGGTTCCCTTTGTTCATTTGCACCTCCCACATCACGATTCTGCCTACTTGTTTGTAGATACTGAAACTTTAAACATCACCTGGAAGTTGGGAGAGAAAGCACCCGTTGCTGTTCTGGCTTTGAAGGACTGCATTAGATTTTTTTTTTTTGCAAGTGTTTGATTTCCCCTGCTTGGATTTTTAGCAGTTTCTTAACATCCCTGCTGTGGTGTGCTGGACAAGGTCATGCCATCAGCAAATACACTGCTGCAGCACATGGCTGGGCTGGCTTTGTGCAGAGGGTCACAGCAGTGGGAGCACAGCCTTTCTGGGAGGACTCCCTGCTGCTTCAGCCCTGCAGCTCAAAGAAATACTGCCCCAAGGAAACCTTTTGTATTCAAGGAGCAGGATGAACTTTAGTTCTTCCAGGTACAGTTCTCCTTGGCAGGAGCCTTGCTTAGGACCATGGTCCCAGTCATACTGCTGGCACACTTGCCCTATGTGGTAACTCTCTCCATCTCCCTTCTGTGGGATGTGAGGCATGTGCAGGTGATGGGGTGTTGGGTGGGTTGGGGTCTTGGCTGTCAGCATGTGTTCCTGCCCAAAGCCACTTTGAGTTGGAAAAGAAAATATTAATTTGGAAAATATGCATTAGAATTTGCTGACAAATTTCCAGTGCAAAGCCACCAACTTAGAAAATTGGGGAATGCGTATATTACACAGAAATGAGCTGACTGGGCAAATCAATTCATCCCTGTCCAAAGTCTGGTGTATTTGGAAGGCCCTGAGAGTTGCGGAGAAAGAGGACAGTGTGGATTTACACAGCCTGCCTCTCTGCCTGTATTGCAGGATACCCTGGAGATGTGCACCAGGGAGAATGAGTTCAAGAGCATCCTGTTTGCCCTCTGCTATTTCCATGCCTTGGTGGCAGAAAGGCGCAAGTTTGGCCCCCAAGGCTGGAACCGTTCCTACCCCTTTAATGCTGGAGACCTCACTATCTCTGTGAATGTGCTACATAATTACCTGGAGGCCAGCTCAAAGGTGCGTGAATCAAAGGTAGGCTATTTGGTGGCTTTTAACCATCAGTGATGGACTAGCTTGTGCTGAAACTCCTGGAAAGTCTCCTTAAATGCCATTTTCTTGGTATCTTTGGTTTTATAACTTCACAGTTTGGTATACGTTTGTGGTGAGATGAGAAGCTTCATCTGTACACTCGCATCTGTAGCAGCTTACAAATCATAGAAAATAGTGCCTGTGGTATTTATTAATTGAAAATACGTAGTGGTCTTTGGTTTAACAGAGCTTAGAATAACTTTACATTTCAGTGGGAAACTGTGTGAAATCTATGCTGTGATCCAGTTTTCCTCGGGAAGGATTTAACTACTGCAAACTATGTTTACTTAGAAAACTGAAATAATGAAGTGGAAGCACGTACTGTGCAGATCAGTGCTTAGTGCTGTAGCGTGCAGCTCAACGACACGGCTGGTGGCGCTCTGTCTGTCTGAACTCCTTCATGCCCTCCTGGTTCATTCTTCAGGTCCCATATGATGATTTACGCTACCTCTTTGGTGAGATTATGTACGGAGGTCACATTACAGATGACTGGGACAGGCGGCTTTGCAAAACCTATTTGGAAGAATTTATTAAGCCAGAAATGCTGGAGGGAGAACTCCTCCTTGCTCCAGGATTCCCCCTCCCAGGGAACATGGACTATAATGGCTATCATCAGGTAAGCTGTTTGTTTTCTGGCATTATTTATATACATAAATGTAATGTCTTCCATAACTGCCATATAACCTATCTTAGGAGGCAGTGAATAGGACTGCAGTGTTTCAACACACCTCCTGTTATTTCCCATTATGTTCTGTTTCTGTATTCAACATTCCCTTGGATGAACCAAGTCTAATGGTAATTTGCTACTTCATCATGGGCTCGTTCTGTTCATGCATGAATAGAACAACTGTATTGGTTCTCAAGACTTGAGCAGGGCTCCTGGAAAATTACATCCACATACTGTTTGCTAAAATGGCCCTTTCAAGCTCCTTTTATCATCAGTTTCAACGAGAAACACTGAAGGGTCTTGTTGATCTACTTACTGATCTCATCTGTTCTTTGTACACAAATGCGGTAGCAGAGTGTCGTGGTTTAGTCCCAGCCAGCAACTCAGTACCAC